GGCTTCCTGTGGAGCTAATCAGAGGGGCCAGGGAGGGGGAGTCAGTTAAACTCTATGTGTGCATGCATGAGTGCGTGGGCATGCATGTGTGTGTGAGCACATGTGCGCATGCGTGTGTAGATAAGTGTGTGGGCGAGCATGTGCACACATGTGTGTGGGTGTGTGCGTGTGTGTAGATAAGTATGTGGGCATGTGTGTGAGAGCATGTGTGCACATGCGTGCAGGTGTGTATGTTGAGCATGTACACGTGTACATGCAGTTGTGTGTACATGTGTTTGTAGGTGTGCATGTGTATAGGGGTGTGTGAACGTGTGTGCATTTGTGTGGGCATGCATGTATTTGTGCAGGTGTGTGCATGCCTGTCTGTAGGTGTGCATGTATGCATGTGTGAATGTGTGTGTGTGTGTGTGTAGGGGTGTGTGAGCAGGTATGCAGGTGTGCATTTGTGTGGCATGCATGTATGTGTGTGCGGGTGTGTGCACGCCTGTCTAGGTGTGCGTGTGTGAGTGCGTGTGTGCGGGGTGAGTGCTGTGCCGCCTGAAGCAGTTCCTCAGAGCAGAGCGGGCACTTGGCAGGTATCAGACGGACATGTCACAACTGAGGGAAGAGCGGCTTTGAGCTCAGCGTGGCTGCCAGGCGGCGGAGGAGCTGGCTGTGCGCGGCAGAGGCTGGGGGCAGGGCGCGGCGCCTGGCCACGCTTTCTCCGGCGGCCGGGGCCAGTGCCACCCACGTGGGGCTGAGCCTGTCGGCACGCCCCGCCAGCCGGGGCAGGACGAGGGACAGGGTGGTCTGGGCGTCTCTGCTAGTTTTCGGAGAACCTCGTGGATCGGAAAGGCCCTTTCCGGATTGTCTCTCCCGGTCAGCGTCCTTCCTAGAACGCCCTGGTGGCCAGCCGGCCCCGCACGCTTCCCCCAGCGGCAGAGCGCCCACGCCAGCTCAGAGCCCCGGGCTTAGACACCTCAGGGGGAGAGATAGCATGACGTCACTGTATTAGGAATCATTACAAAGGAGCAGCTACTAGCATTCATCGGGCTTTGCTGTGTGCCAACCAGTTTCCACACCTGTTTCCAGCTCCCCCAAAGCAGACCCCGAGACAAGGGTCCGGGGGTGATCCCCAGGAGCAGGGAAGGAGGGGAGCCGACGAAGGTGAAGGGCAGCTGAGGCTCAGGCCCACAGGTGCCCTCAGATTCGTCCTGTGGAGGGGCGTGGAGGCTGGGGTACCATCCACCACTCGCCCCCCACCTGGGCACGCCGTCCCTGGCTTTTCCTTCTGGCTGCCCTCGACACAGAAGCCAGGGGCTGGAGGTGGGAGGTGGGGACCTGTCTCCCACGGCCGTGATGAGCACCGAGGGGCGGAGGGGCAGGCCAGTGACTGCTCCCAACAAGGCTCTGAGGGCGGCACCGTTGTTTCCGTAACTTACACAGGGAAACTGAGGTGCAGGGAAGCCGTGCCCAGGTGGGGGCACAGCTGTGGAGGGCCACACAGGCCGCCACCTGAAGTTGACTGGGCCTTTAGTTCTTTGTGTCCACCCTTCTCCTGCCTTCCTGTCAGGTGCCACCCTGGGAGCCGCAACACAGCTTCCCAAGTTACTGTGCTCTGTGTGTGTGAGTGTGCGCATGTGCAGGTGTGCACGGGCTGCACATGTGCATAGGTGTGCATGAGTGTAGGCGCATGCACGTGTGCAGGTGCGAGCACATGCGAGCGCATGCAGACATGTACATGTGTGTGTGTGTATGCATGTGTGTGTGTAGGCATGTGGGCAGGGTAGCTTCTAGCCCTGGGTCCAAGCTCAGTCTTCCCAAGGCCACAGAGCCCTCTCTCAGACCCTCCCCGGTGTCCCTTAGCCTGTGAGGACCCAGAGCCTGTCTGGCACCCGTACGGGCATCTCTCCTCAGGCCAGACCTTCCCGCCCAGCCTGGCCGCTCTCCCTGGCCAGTCCCATCTTGGTCATTACTCTGCAGTGGGAGGGGCAGCCCCGTGGCCTGGCCTCCAGGTGTTCCAGCCGCTGGGTGACAGCGCACCGTGTGCTGTCTGTCTGTCTGTCTGTCCAGGAGCTGCACTGTGACGTGTCCGTGGAGGAGGACAGCCGGCAGGAGTGGACCTTCACCCTGTATGACTTTGACAACAACGGGAAGGTCACCCGCGAGGTGAGTGTGCCCGCCTGACCCCTGGCCATGGGCCGTGCCCTGGGGCACAGGGTGCTGGTCCTGTGCCAGGTGACTGCCCGTCCCCTCTGCGAAGGCAGGGCCTGTCCCTGCAGGTGAACTGGAGCAGGAGGGTGCAGGGAGCGGGTGTGGTGGGAACGAGGCTAGGCAGGTGCTGAGCCCCGAGGCCTGCTGGGAGGCGGCTTGTCTCAAACAGGCGGCTCCCACAGTGCTGGTCTGGCCCCGATGTTCGGGCCCAGCCTGCAGAGGGTTTGGTAAAAGTTAAATGAGCGCAGGCAGGAAAGGTGGAAGTAGATCAAGGGGACTCCATCAGAATGTAAACGAGGCGCCCCCGAGGACAGGACCTTCGGGGTGCAGGGCCGCCTGCGGGATGCAGGAAACATATGCAAATCCTCTGTCTGATACGGGAATAACAGCCAGAATACTGTGTATGGAGAACGCCTAAAATGTCACGTAAAAAATGAAGTAATTCTATCAAAAATGGGCAAAGGACTCGAATAGACTTTTCTCCAAAGAACATGTACCAGTGGCCAATCCGCACATGAAAAGCTGCTCACCGTCACCGATCATCAGGGAAATGCAAGTCCAAACCACCACGAGACCCCACCTCACACCACGAGGATGGCTGCTCTGCAGACAAACAGGAAACAGCAAGTGTTGCCCGGCCGCCGTGGCTCAGTGGCTGAGCGTCAGCCTATGAACCAGGAGGTCACGGTTCGATTCCCAGTCAGGGCACATGCCCGGGTTGTGGACTCCATCCCCAATGGGGGGAGTGCAGGAGGCAGCCGATCCATGATTCTCTCTCATCGTGGATGTTTCCATCTCTCTCCCTTTCCCTTCCTCTCTGAAATCAATAATATATCTATCTATATCTATATCTATATCTATATCTATATCTATCTATCTATATATTTTTTTTTAAGAGAGAAAATAAGGTAAGTGTTGCCGGGCAAGTGGCAAACTTGGAACCCTGGGCATTGTTGCTGGGGATGTCAAATAGCGCAGCTGCTGAGAGAAGCAGCATGAGGGTCCTCAAAACATGATACACAGAACCCCCATGGGACCCAGCCCCCCACTTCTCGGTATGTGTCCCCCGACATTGAAAAGAAGCGTCCTGAAGAGATAGATGCCTGTACATCCACGTTCATACCCCATCAGCTACGACAGCCCCAGCGTGGACGCAAGCCAAGTGCCCGTCGGCCGATCAGGATCAACCCACGGTGGGCTGCACCTGCCGTGGAATATTACTCAGCCTTGAAAAAGGGAGGGGATCCTGGATCTGCTGGCTGCATCGCGATGATCCTCGAGGACATTATGCCGAGTGCAATAAGCCAGTCACTGGCGGACAGATGCTGTGTGATTCTGCTCATAAGAGTTGCCTACAGGAGTCAGACACATAGACAATGTAGAATGCAGGTTGCCAGGGGCAGGGGGAAGAGGGGGATGGGAAATTGAGAAGAAAAATTAGTTGCCAGTATCAGAGGTTCTGGAGATTTAACAGGAGGCTGGACCTGGCTCCTGGGAGATGCTCTCAGCCTGCGTGGCCCTCGGGCGGCCGCCTGCTGTGGGCGGGGCCGGCGCACACCTGCCTGGCCAGGGCAGTGCTTGCGGGTGGGGGTGACGGGACGGCCGAGTCTGTCTGTGTCCGGGCAGGGTCGCTGGGCAGGTGACTGCCACCCGAGGCCGTGGCCCGGAGAGCGCACATCCCTCCTGCAGATGCGCTGTGGCTAAGGCCGCGCGCGGTTTCTGCTTCCCTCCCGCCGCCAGGACATCACCAGCCTGCTGCACACCATCTACGAGGTGGTGGACTCCTCCGTCAACCACTCCCCGACGTCCAGCAAGACGCTGCGGGTGAAGCTCACCGTGGCCCCCGACGGGAGCCAGGGCAAGAAGAGCATCCTTCTCAACCACCCGGGTGAGGGGCGGGCCCGGGCGCTGGCGCTGGGAGCTCCCCTGCGGGCAGGTGGGGTTGTGGCAGGTCCTTGAGGGGGTGGGATTTGGGTAGAGAGGATTCCAGGTGGAAGGCCCGAGGGAGCACAGCACGGCTGGGCACGTGTGTGGCCGGCAGCCAGGGCAGAGGCTGTGTTGTGTTGTATTGTGTTGTGATGGGTGGGCCGGCCGTGGAGCACAGCCCTGCAGTGTGGGGAGGAGCTGAGCAGGACGGGTGGCTGTGAGACCCCTCAGTCTGGTCCTGGCTCTGAGGAGCCTGGCCACTGAGCCATTGGGCAGCTGCCGGGGCCAGCAGCTTGGAAAACCTGGGCAGGACCCGGAGGCCGGCGGGAACGGGATGGAGCTGCTCACCGGGCTGTGTCTTGGGCGGGACTCAGACCTGCAGAGCACCAGGCCCAGAGCGGAGGCCAAGCCGGCGGAGGAGCTGCGGAGCTGGGACAAGAAGCAGCGAGCCCCCCTCAGGTACGGCGGGCAGGGCGGGCCGGGCACCCAGGGCACCTGAGCACCGTTAAGCACCAGCTGTGTACCTGTGTCTGAGGGATCCCGAGCAGGAGGCTTCCGTCTGCACTCTCTTCAGGGGCAGCGCTTTCAGGCGACAGGCTCACAAAGTTTGATTTTTAAAAATAACTGAGTATTGCCCGACCGGCGGGGCTCAGTGGTTGAGCGTTGATCTATGAACCAGGAGGTTGCGGTTGATTCCCCGTCAGGGCACATGCCCCGGTTGCAGGCTCCATCCCCAGTGGGGGGCGTGCAGGAGGCAGCCGACCCATGATTCTCTCTCATCATTGATGTTTCTATCTCTCTCTCCCTTCCTCTCTGAAATCAATAAAAAATTTCTTTTAAAAATTAAAAAATAACTGAGTATAGGTCTACATTGCTTTATCCAAACGCTTTAGGCCAGAGAGGTTTGGCGTTTGGCGTTTGCTGGTTTGCACAGGTGCTCAGGGTGTATTCCTTACGTGTGATTTTGGGGTCTGGGCACCATCTCGGGGTTTTGCCCGTTGGTGTTTCTGCGGGCAGACGTACGAGTACCCACACCAGGTGGCATAAAGACCATGGCTGCCCTCTCCTCGCTTAGGGCCGGCGTGGCTGCCCAGGGGGTTGGGGAAAGCCCTTGCTTTCAGGCACTGGGGCTTCAGGACTGCGCACGAGGCCTTCACTGCGCCTGCGGGTCCCTTTCCCCGGTGCTGGTTCTTTAACTTCCAGGAGGGAAGGAGAGAGGTGGGATGGGAGGGGGGCTGTTTAGGAAGCATGGAGCGCAGGGCAGTGAAGCGCAGGGCTGTCTGAGACAGGAGGTACGCTGATTCCTAAGTGAAGAGGGAAGGAAAGTTCTGGACTTTGAGAAGCAGCAGCACAGGGAACAGAGAGAAGGGGGACGCAGGGGGCTCCGCGTGATGTGGGCAGGGGCTGACGATCACAGGTACCTGGGCGGCTGCAGGTGGGGGGCTCTGCTGGGCAGAGGGGGGCCGGGAGGGGGTTCGTGCAGATCACCGAGGCCCTGTGGGAGGAAGGTGGCCTCCGGCGGCGCCTCTCGCCCCGCCCTTCCGTGCACACACAGGGGAGGCCCGCTCGGGGCCCTGGGCTCCGGGGCAGGTACCAGCCTCAAGTCCCCTGGCTGGGGGGCTTCTGCCCCCACACCCCCTGGGGAGCAGATGGGAGCCAGGCCACCAGTCTGGGGTGTGCGGCAGGCACACGGGGCTTGAAGTCTGGCTTTGGGGCACCCTTACATGTCGACCAGTAACCCCTGACCCCTGCTTTGGGCCTGTTCCTCCAAGAAAGCCCAGGGAGGCCCGGCAGGAGGCTGTCTCCATGGACCACTCCCTCCCTCACACCCTCCCCAGGACCAGAGGGAAATCAGCAAAGGGTCCAGGAGGATTTGTCCCGTGGCTTCCCAGGAGGCTGTGGGGCTGTCGTCCCCCCCCCCCGCCCCCGCCACCCCCCACCCCAGTGCCCCGGGCCAGCACCCGCCACTCACTTGCCTTCCTGTGACAGGTTCCAGGGGGACAGCCGTCTGGAGCAGCCGGGCTGCTACCACCATTGCGTGGATGAGAACATTGAGAGGAGAAACCACTATTTAGATCTCGCTGGGATAGAGAACTACACGTCCCAGTTCGGGCCTGGTAAGGCGGGCTGAGGGGAGGCGTGGCCAGGCCGGCAGGTGCGTCAGGCGGGTAGTGGTCACCGTCCCCCCTGGGCTGGGGGAAGGCATGGCTTGGATGGGACAGGTTCCAGATGTTATTGGAGGCGATGACATTAAAAACTTTAAAATAGTAAAGGAATGCCTAGCCGGCGTGGCTCCGTGGCTGAGCATTGACTCATGAACCAAGGGGTCGCTGGTTCGATTCCCGGTCAGGGCACATGCCCAGGTTGTGGGTTCGATCCCCGATTGTGCAGGAGGCAGCTGGTCCATGGTTCTCTCTCGTTGATGTTTCTATCTCTCTCTCCCTCTCCCTTCCTCTCTCTCTAAAAATCAATAAAAGTATATTTTAAAAAATAATCAACACAAGCACAAAGCGAACCAAATCAGAGAGTATCTGAGGGCTTATAACACAGTGAAGACCAGTCGTCCCACACTCACCCTGCCCTCCTGCCCTGCGCCCCTCTCCGCCCAGGGAGGACCCCACTTCCCTAGCTCTGTCTGTATCAGCTCTGCCTGCCAGCTCTCGTCCCAGCTCTCGCTGAGACCAATGAGAACGGAGCTCAGATAACTTCACCCCACCCCCCCCATGCTGGTTTCCTGGGGTTACCTTGGAAGTTGAGGAACAGGCCTGCAGGTCTCCTTCACGCCCCAGGACCCCAGATGGGCACCCTCTCTGCCTCCCTCTCGTTCGCAGCTCTCCCTAGGGAGGGGAATTCTGTTTAAAGACCCCACCACACAGACACAGTTCTTCCCACTTAGCAGATGGCAGGGCTCCACTGCAGAGCGCTGTCCCCGAGGCCAGGAGGAGGCGGGGAGACGGGACTCTGATAAAGGACAGCCGGCCTTCCTCAGTCTCGGGGAACCCACTGGGCTTGGGGTGATTTGTGGGCGCAGTGCAGCGCCGCGCACAGTAGGTGCTCATGAAATACCTGTGCATTGCTTCCTAGGCTCCCCGTCCTCGGCCCAGAAGTCAGAACTGCCCCCCCGCACCTCCAACCCCACGCGGTCTCGCTCCCACGAGCCCGAAGCCGTCCACGCCCCCCACCGAAAGCCCCCAGGCGCAGACCCTGGCTCCTCCCACGGCCTTGACACCCCGTTCGCCAAGGTCCCGGAGGCCCAGCAGCGGCTCCGGGGCGCCCAGGACGGGAGCAAGCACTTTGTGAGGTCCCCCAAGGCCCAGGGCAAGAACGCGGGCGTGGGCCACGCGGCCAGAGGGGCAAGAAGCAAACCCCCTCTGGGACCCGCCGTCCCCGCGGTGTCCCCGTCCGCCCACCTGGCCGCCAGCCCGGGCCTCCTCCCCACCCTGGCACCCCTCGGGCACAGGAAGCACAGGCACCGAGCCAGGGAGGGCCAGCAGGGGTGCCGGGCCCTGCAGGCTCCGCTGGCGGGCGGCTCTGGGCCGGGCCGGGACCACCTGCGGGAGCTGCCCGCGCCGGCCTCCGTGGCGCACGACGGCCAGGGCCAGGCCGGCCAGGCGGTCCAGAGACACGAGCACCACCACCACCACGAGCACCACCACCATTACCACCACTTCTACCAGACATAGGCCCCGGCTGCCGCCACGCCAAGGACCCCCCCCCCCCCAGGCCTTCTTATTCTATTAATTATTGTTATGATGACTATTGTTATTAATAATTATTGTTACTCCACTAATATTCAGCTAGCCTCCGTGTAGAAGATGTATGGACACACAGACTAAACCTTATTTATATGCCGTGGGGACTGCGTCACTCACCCGAGACGGGGCTCCGGGCTCCCTCGGGTTCCCAGCTGTGGTTTCTCGCAGGCCCACGCCCTTCCCAGCCCCCTGCCCCTCCCCCGGAGCCCTGGGCCTCGCCCCCATCGCTCCCAGGAGGGCACCCTTTCCGCCGGCTCCCAGAGACCCTCGAAATCTCCGAGAAGAGACACAGCTGCTACCTCTTAGTATTATTCCCGTTTCCTTCTGCCCTGGACTGATGGTAACGTGCGCTGAGGATCTCCGCGGAGAGCGGGCCGCCGCGCCACCTCCCGGCTGTTGTGTGTGTGTCCCAGCCCAGAGCCTTCGCTGTCCTTCCTGCGGCACCGTTCCCAGTGGGGTCACTCCTCGCCCGCCCGGAACGCGGCCGTCTTCTCTGCCCGCACAGCCCGAAGACACGCGTCTCCGCTCCCTCCTCCTCCTCCTCGCTTCTTTAGAAAGATACGCACACAGTTAAAGACTGCCCCGAAACCAGACTCCTCGTTCTGGAAACCTCCGGGAGGGAACCGGCCACATCAGCCACCGTGGCTTCCCCAGGCCGGGCAGCGGGGGAAGATGCGGGACCTCGAGTTCTCCCCTCGGCAAAAATCCACACGGCCCGACGCGGTTCCCTGACGGCTCTGTATCTATAGCTAGACGCCACCTGTCCATGTCGATGTATCTTTCTATAAATATACACTCTCAGGTACCTCCCCCGTGTGCCCGAGTCCCTGCTTCACTTCCCCAGGGCCCTCTGAGCCTCCTGCTGGGGCCACGGTCCATCGGATGTGAACAGCCACTCATCTGTCCTCGGGGGTCCCTTCCGTGGTCCAGGGCCTGACAGGTTTGGACAGGCCTGCTGGGGCTCAGGAGCTGGGGTGTGTGTGTGGGGGGGGGGGGACAGTGGCCAGAGCTGGCCCCAGGAGCAAGCTTTTGTCTGATGGGGGCCTGGAGGGGCCGGAAAAGGACGGCTCTCCACCCATCGGGACACACTCACATGGCGCTGGTTGAGGAGTTTAATAAAGGAGAGAGCCACACCGGGCGGGCAAAGCCGGCGGGAGTGCAGGATCCAGGCCAGCTCTGGGGCGTCACTCCCAGGCCTGCAGGGGGTGGAGAAGGGGTGCGGTGCCGCCAGCCTGTGGGGACCCTGCAGGGACCTGCCATCCCGGCCTCCCTCTCCCGCCTGCCCTGCGTCCTGTTGTGCTGAAGCCGTGGGGAGCTGGAGGGCGGGGGAGCTGCTGATGGGGGTCCCCCTGCAGGCGGGCGAGTGTCCTTCCCGGGCGGAGAAGAGAGTGGAGGGTGAGCCCAGCTGCCAGCCTGTCTGCTGCTCGGTCTCCCAGCTGCCACCCCCTCTCCCAGAGCCTCTGGTTTGGGTCCAATGTGGTCGGAAAGGCGTTCTTTTTGAAAATACTGGGCTTAGTTGTCACCAAATGATTGGGTTAGTGCTGGTGCGCCTGGGAATAGATTAATACAGTTCATCCTCAGGCAGCCAGGGGAAGCTCGGGGAGCTGGAGCTCAGAGAGGTTGAGTAACTCACCCGAGATCACACAGCAGGTGGCAGGGCTGGGGTTCTAGTCTTCCCCGCCGTCCCTTAACCACTGCGTCTGGGCTTCTGACAGTCGGTGTCCAACACAAACTGATGGGAATGTAACCAAAGCAGGGAAGGCAGGGAGGAGGGAGGAGGGAGGAGGGAGGAGGGTGGAGGGAGTCCCCCCGCCCCCCAAGGTGCTTTGTCACGGTGTGGGTGCTGCCAGCTCTCTGGACTTCACAACCAAGTGGGAAAGGATCTTACACTAGGCCCGTGGTCGGCAAACTGCGGCTCGCGAGCCACATGCGGCTCTTTGGCCCCTTGAGTGTGGCTCTTCCTAAGCCTTAGGAGTACCCTAATTAAGTTAGTAAAAATGTACCTACCCATATAGTTTAAGTTTAAAAAATTTGGCTCTCAAAAGAAATTTCAATTGTTGTCCTGTTGATATTTGGCTCTGTTGACTAATGAGTTGGCCGACCACTGCACTAGGCGAATCCCAGGAGAATATTCTGATTGGCTGGGCTCAGAGCCTGTACCAACCCTGGACCAATCAGCATAGCCCACTGGGCTCACATGGCCAACCTGTGGCAAGGGGGCGGGGTCTGTGCCAGGAAGGAGAGGAAGGATGCTGAGCAGACAGGAGCTCCTGGTGCCCTGGCCCAGAATTGCTGCAACCATGGCAACGAACCAGGGACGGGGTCCGGGCAGGGAGCCTCTCTGTGGCCTGGTGGCCATGGGGCGGCTCCTCAGCCTCTGCGAGGAGGTCCCACGCTGCCCGCCCCAGCCCCATGGCTGTCAGGCGTCTATTTCTTGGTCACTGGGATTTATTTAAAAATCACTTTGAGAAATAGTGGCGCATACAGATAAAAGACCCAAAGGATCCAAAAAGCTGTGCCGTGAAAAGGACTTGCTTTCGGCATCTTTGACTCCCTTCCTGGCACCTTCCAGGGCCGCCCGCGTGGCCTGGTGGCGGGGAGCACAGACTCGGGGGCCTCTCTGACTGCTCCACGTGGGATTCTGTGCCCCTCGAGCCTCAGTTTCCCCTTTAGGGAAGGGGATCAGGAAAGACTTACCCCACAGAGTTGTGGTGAGAATTCACTGAGCTAACACTGGCTGACCCTTGGGAGCACATAGAAGTGTTCGCTGCCGCTATTTACAAGAATAAATGCATCTACAGACAATATCTCCCCATTTAAAGTCTGTTAACTTTTTAAAAGACTATTTTTTTTCCCCCGAGCCGTTTTAGGTTTATAACAAAATGGAGAGGAAGGTACAGTGTCCTGATATCCCCCCTCCTCCCACTCATGCACCGTCTCCCCCACTGTCAACATCACTCCCCGGAGCGGTACCTTTTAAAAATATATTTTCTTACTGATTTCAGAGGGGAAGGGAGAAGGAGAGAGAGAGAGAAACATCAATGATGAGAGGGAATCACCGATTGGCTGCCTCCTGCATGCCCCCCACTGGGGATCGAGCCTGCAACCTGGGCCTGTGCCCTTGACCAGAATCGAACCCTTCAGTCCACAGGCCGATGCTCTACCCACTGAGCCAAACTGGCTAGGGCCAGAGTGGCACTTTTTTTTTTTTTTTTAACCAAGAATGAACCTACATGGACACATCATAATCACCCAAATCCACAGTTTGCCTTGGGGCTCACTGCCGGTGTTTGTTGGAAATTCCATGGGTAGCGACATGTATCCATCATTATAATATCATACAGACTATTTTCCCTAAATACTCTCCGCCTATTCATCTCCCCCTCACCCCCACTATTGTTCATTTTAAAAATATTTCTAACACAATTTGGAGCAGAAAACATTGTGTCACAGCGACTCGGACCTCCCTGGGCTTTACAAGAGCGGACCGTTTGCAATGTTTATTTCAGATCTATTTTTAAGGAGGAAAACATGGCAGCCCCCGCCTAATCCCCTGGCCGGGCCCGCGCCTTTATTTTTACCCGAGCGGGAGCATAGCGTTCGTGCTCGGGCCTGGTCTCTGTGACCTCAGGTCTTCGGAGACCTGGCTCCCCGGGGCGGGCCGTGCAGCTCAGGCCCCTTCTCTCCAACAGCTGCCAGGGCCCACTCTCACCTCCCGGGGGCCTGGGGTGCGTGCACTCCCCACCCAGCCATGCCAATCACACGTTTTGGCAAAGGAAACAGCGGAGAGCAGTTTCTTTAGTGCCCACACCCCCCTTTCTCCGCGTTTAGATGTCAGATCATTACAGGCTGGAGGGGGGGGGGCTTCCTCTCGGGGCAGGGGCCGGAGGCTGCCTGCGCCCCAAGTGCCATTCCTGCCAGGTGCCGGCACTCATAACGGCTCCTGGGAGACCTGTCCGCGCTCGGGAAGGAGAGGGACCCTGAGACGTGCTTCATGGGCTGGGACCCCTCCCCCAGACCCCTCCGTCCATCTCCAGACCCCTCTGTCCATCCGCCCTTTCAAATATTTACTGATCAACTGCTATGTGTCAGGAGCCATGCTCAGCACTAAACAAAACAGACCCCCTCCCTACCTGCCTTCACAGCTTTCAGCCCAGTGTGTGTGTGGGGAGGGCAGCTGTCACACAAAAATTACATGGTTACCAACTGTGACCACTTCTGGGGATGAGGAGGAACTAGCCAGGTGAAAAGCGAGAGGAAGCAGCTGGTGCAAAGGCCCTGAGGTGGGAGGTGGGGGGGCCATCGGATGAACTGACCAATCAGAGGCCAGTGAGGTCGAGCGAGGACAGCAAGGCGGGGCAGCCCAGGTGAGCAGAGCCTGCGGCGGGGGCGGGGAGGGGGGCAGGGGAGAGTCTGTGCATCACTCTGGGGGAAACATCAAGAAGTTGGAGGGTCCACAGGGTGGGCGGGACAGGACTGGACCGCCTGGCCACTGAGTGGAGAAGGGGCTGGCAGCAGTGGCCTGGCGAGCAGGCGCCCCAGGGGTGGCCTGTCGGGTAGAAGTTGCTGATGACATTCCTGCCCATAAAACTGCTCAGGACCCCGGGGATCAGAATATCTTCTCCGCTGCTGAATAAGTGGGAAGTGGGGGGTGGCACGGCAGTGAAGCTGGGAGGAGCGAGAGGACAAAGGCAGAGAGAACGAGGCCTCGATTTCCTCCCCGAATCGGAAATGCCAGGAGAGGAGAAGGAGGCGGGCACGATATTGACTGAAACGCGGGGGATTGAAAAGGCCCTGTGTTCCCACTTGGGGCTCCGCTTCCCACAGACAGCCCGGGACCTTTGAAGTCGGGCGGGCCCAGTGGGGAGCGGGCTTCAGGCGGAGACAAGATGCTCAGGGGGCGGGGCGGGGGCCGGGCGGCCGGGCTCTAGGAGGCCTGCTCCAGCCCAAAGAAAGGCAAATCCAATGATAATGTACATCTGTTTCAGGGAATTTATAAGCTTTGAACATTTTTTATGGGCAGATAAGTGGGTCCTTTTCTTACCATAACTTAGGACTTCAAAGCTGAGTGTGTGGATAATGCAAATTGCTGAAATAGGAGATTTTCCCGAACAAAGAGGTTTCCAAAAAAGACGAGGAAGAAAAAGGGAGAAGGGGAGAGAGACAAAGGAGGCTAATTGATGCCATGTCTTTTATGTGCGCGACACAACCGGACGGACATTGATTTTTATGAAATAGGAAATGCACGGGCGGGGAGGAGGAGGCCAGGAGGCGGGAGTGGGGGCTGGGACCGGGGCCCGAAGGTCAGGCCAGGCTGTGGGTCAGCCCTGGGGACACGGTCCCCTCCTTTTCGGAGCCCTCACCCTTAAAGGGGAAGACAGACAAATGGACACAGGGGACACTTCTGAGCCAGCCAAGGCCCTGTTGGCCCAGGACCTGGTCCATCCGAGTGAGGCCCTAGGGGGCTGAGGGGCTGGGTGGAGCCCGGAGGCCTGGGGACTCAGGAAAACTCCTGCAGGCATGATCCTGGCAGGCGGGGGGCATGCTAGGTGGGGAGGCAGCTGGGTCAGGAGCCCTGCGTTCTGCCTCTGCTACCTGCTCACCGGCCCCCTGAGCTTTTCTGCCTCCCCTGCTCCCCCACCAGCAAGTAGCCTGTGAGCTCCTGGAGGGCAGGGACACAGTCAACACTCAATATGTGCCTGTTGAATGAATGAACAATTGAATGAATGATTGATTGAATGAATGAATGGCTGAATGAATGAATGATGGGATGGGATGAATGAATGAACGGCATGGAGGGTCAA